TACCGCATATTGCTCGCATACCCCCTTCGCGCTTCTACTCGAAAGTTTATTTTTTTTATTTCATTCATCTTTCATCTTTCATCGAAAGTTTATTTTTAAAATTAAGTTTTTGAATGGTTTAGAAACCGCTGGCAGTTGGAACGTTACGGCCGATTTCGAGGCGTCTTATCCGCTTTTCGAAACGCCTGGGCAGTAAAAGCGTGCACGCGAATCATTTCATCCGTCTATATAAAGCGTGTAATCTTCGATACATATCATGCCACTTCTCTTACTACCCATCCGTCCCACAGAAGTCTTTGTTAATGGCCCTCCGTTTTTCCCTTTTCTTGCATATGATAAGCAGTTCGCCGGAGATAAACCAGAGTTACAAAAATTCTTTCTTTCGACACGTGAGGCAATTCTTTAAGATTACTGTGTCCGAATTGAGAACTCCTAACCTTTCGAATTCGTCGGAGGAAAAAATTAAACGAGCGGAAATTCCGCTATCCAACTTTATTAACGTGGCCCCGGCAGGAAACATATATGCCGAGACAGCGACGATGAAAATCAAACCTCCGGGACCGGGTATTACCGGATCAACTGTGAGAAGGTTGAAGGTCGGAACTCGTCAGAGCCCATCGGTTCAGATCGTGGTGGTCGGGACCGATCTCATGCTGGAGTTCTACATGGAACTCCACAAATAACCTCCACCTACAGCTCCTCTTTCTGGAGTCTGAGTGCTGTTGTAGCTCGTCGGCTCCCTCGTCCTACCTTTTTTTTAGGCTTGGCTGGTCCTTCGATTTTCTTTTTTTTTTTTAACTTTGTAATCGGCTGGGTTTGAAGCGACTGTAAAAGTAGTAATGTAGCCTGTGTAGTGATTTCTGTTCGATCTTTTATTCTGCGAAATATTATTCGCCTAGTTGGTGCATAATAAGAAAAAGAAAATATTTTTGGAAATATTCTATTCTGCGACACACATAATTGCGACAAATAAGCGTCGCATAATTCATTCGCAGGTCAACCGGAGGATATTCGCATACCCACTTTTTGTGTAAAACAATTATAAAACAATTATTTTGGTCTGATAAATGCGATTCTTTATGCGACAGTCTCGCGACGGATATGCGTTAATTCGCAGGTCTACCGCAGGGTATTAAACTGCGAAAGAGATACGGAAACTAAATCATTATATTTATTTTGTTTATTAAAAATGCATCGGAATTGCGAAAGTATGGCGCTTGTTACGCGGACATTACTCGACAGTTGTTATTTCGCATATTTTGTCGTATAGTTTATTATTTAAAACAAAAAGGAAAAAGAAAGCAAAACGTCGCATATACGCTACAGTTGCACCTCTCAGGAGAATAAAACAAAAAAAAAAAAAGGGCGAAAAATTTGAAATTCAATCTTCCATCTTGCGACGTTAATTCGCATAGTTAGAAGCAAAAGAAAAGTTAGAAATTAAAAGAAAAAAAGAACCAAAAATGATGAACGAGAACGACATCAATCACATTATGGACTTCTTAAGAGATTCTGAAGATTTGACGAATCAAGCTTTTCTCGAGGCGGCTGACCAAGCGGGTGCCCTAACAGCGGCTACTGCGGCCGGCGACCCAATGGCTGCCGTAACGGGTCTGGAGGCCATCTCTTCTGGAGAGGTAACTTCCATTTGTTGTACTTATTTAATTTAAGTTATTTAATTTCATCTGCTTTAATAATTGAGAAATAGTTGTTTTTATTTGATAATGTATAAGTAATTTGATTTGAATAATTA